CTAACGTAAGATGGTGCACAGCTTGCAACAAGAACAAACAGTAATAAACTTATGGAAAGAGGCCATATCAAGACTGCCAAAAAAGCGAGTTATTCAAAATCTAGCAACCATGTCACCTTTTTCAACAATATATCTCTAAAAAACTAAAACAAATTTTCACTTCAAACTCACCAGAATTACATATTAACATTAATATCTTATGAAATATGGCAGATTTGAGCTCAGAAATTATCTAATTAATTTTTTTTATTGAAAACATCGTCTATCAGAATAACATGTAATAAGCAGCTGCAAACTTTTTAACCGGAACTAGAGTAGATGCCGAGCTCGAGATTGTTTACATTTCTATTGAAAGCACCAACAGATATGATACGATGGAACTTCCTGCTTCTTGACTGTATATTGGAGATCGAATGTGGGGTAAAGCAGTACTCTCTGCCAGAATACACCATCTGGGGAAAAGACCGGTTCCATGCCTTTGGCCCTTCCCCCTTTTCCGTTGCATAGGAATGTACTACGATATTTTTTCTTTTTTGAATATTTTTCGTATTTAATTGCTAAAGATAATTTTTAAAATTTCCAAGACGCTTTCTTTTAGAACTGTGTCTAATGTAGTTTTCAGTTCCATACAGCTTAGTAACTTTAAAGATAATATATTTGAAAATGAAGACAGAAAGCAACGTACTTCCTGCTTCTATGACTCTCCACACGCTAATGATGAAATCATGTGAAAGATAATATATATATATTTCTTATATATAATATATATTATCTATAAGATAAAAAAGGGCAAATGAAGTATGATGCATTGTTTTTTTTTGCGATGAAATTTGTAAATAGGTCATCGGTCTTTCTCCTTCCCCTTTCTTCTTATTAAATTTATATTTTTTTGTGCTTTGTTTCAAAAAGTATATTAGTTTTTGAACTTTTTTATTTTATTTCTTTTTTATGCGTTCTTCAAAAATACGCGTGTAGCTGCAGAGTTTAAACTTTAGTCCTCTAAATTTCCTTTCTCATTTGTTTTTTTTCTTTTTTATGACAATTGTTATAAAAGAACGCGCTGATTTTACGAATTAAAAATTGTTTACATTTGTATTAATATATTCATACAGGAGATACTCCCAGAACCTGTTTAGTCAAGCTTCTGTCACCAGTCAATTGTTAGCATAGTGCAGAGATTTCTTTTTTGCATACATAATTAAAATAATTTTACCGCTGTTACATTTTTAAGCCATTTTTTCCCTTTCTAATAAAATACTCAATAATAATGAAAAAATACATCAACTTCAAATAAAAATTTAATTTGCTCGTAACACAAGGGTTAAGAAAGCAAGAAAATCTGTCAATGGCGTAAAAAAGGAAAGATTTTTTTACAAAAATTGATTCAGAAAATTATTAATATAATCAATGATATCACAATGGTATCTGTAGGGTATGTAACTTCTGTAAATTTACTATGAGACATTCCTAAGTTGTAGCTTGAAGGCAGGTAGGTAGCACATTTTAGGACTGTACATTTACACCCCAGCATTCATCACAATCTATTCGTTTTGTTATAATGATAAAACACAGAGGCGCATTTCGATATTCTCTCGATGCCCTCTACTGAGGTGAGGTGAAAATAAATTCAACACAAAAACGAAAAAGCTTGCATTTAAATTTAACATCAGTGTTCAATATTACTCTTAATAAAGTAAGGAGACTTTTGTTAGTTTTCTATTTTAAATTGAACTGAAAATGAAGCTAGCATATGTTCTAATCATCCATTGGATACCTTGTTAAAAATTTCACAGCCAAAAATTTTACTATTGTAAGTCTTTTGACACGAATTTATAACTATTAGCTTTATTTTAAGCATAATTCCTCAAAAAAAAAAAAAAATCTAATTTACACTTATTTTGTGCCAGTTCAGCAAAATTTTTTAACAATTTCACTCCTCCCTCCCCTTGAATATTATTAGAATCAATGCATTTCTAACTATATATAAATTCAGCGAGTATTCACTGTTGAATCCTGGAAAAGTTAAGCTCTAAATCTCTTAAGTTACTAACAATTTCTTTAATTTCAATAATATTTCCGATTCAATAAAATCGATCGAACAAAATTCTTGGCAAAGAGGACATGTAGTTTTTCTAAGGGACAGTAATATATGATTGATATTTCTACTTATATGCAAAGAAACTAAAGTAGGGTTAGAATTTTGGGAAAAAACGATTATTACAATTATCTCTTATCTCCTATTTCATTCGACTGCTTTGCAATAAGGTATGACATTTTTAATGAAAATCTGTATAAAAAGTTCTTTTTAATTTTTTTATTTGTTATAATTACTTAGTTTCAATTGTGCGCTGAATGAAAACAAATATTGCGAACTTAATTCTTATATTAGGCAAAGAATAAACATTAAATGTAAAATGAACATTTTTATGACGTTGTATTTAACCTGGATTTTTTTATTAAAATAAATTTGTTTCCTTTTAAAATATTTTTGTCCGTCGTAGGGTTTACCTTTTTTTTTAGATAAATACGTGTCCCAATAAATACAGGACTATTAAGTATGCGACATTTGCTGCTTTTCACTTTTATTATGTTTGCTTTCGCTGTTATTTTAACACTGGACATAGATTTTACTCTATTTTATTATTTTTCAATGAGAAAGTAATAATATTTGAGTTTAGAGCAGTATAGCCGCTTTCATATGTTGTGATATCAAGATTTATGAAATATAGAATAGATGTAGGAGTATGAAAGTTGTGTGAGAATTTTAAAGAGAATTTAATATATTGTTCATCTCAGATTTGCATAGTGCTCTTTGCCTCTCTCTTTTTTTTTAAAATTTTATTTAATTTATCCAAAATACACAATATATAGAAAAGATGCTACTGATAAGCAATTGGTTTGAATTTTATTGGATTTTTCGAAAAATACTTATTGTTCTATTTCTTTTAAAGTGATTACCTTATTAGAAATTTAAAAAAAAAAATCATTTGCGACAAATTAAATGTTTTCTTACAGTATTCTGTAAGTTTCTTCAAATCAAAACTTTTGAGCAATTACCGACGTTTAATCTTAACCTTTATAAGCTTAATATGTAATAAAAATGGAATAACATGTTAATGAAAGGAAAGTATAACATACGATAAGAAATAGTAAGAATGTAACAAAAACACCTTATTTTGAAACTTTATAAAGTAAAATTTCTTTTCAACCCAATTTCAATGAAAATATTACTGACTTTAAATACTTATTTTATTTTATGTATTTAATAAGTTCATTTTTAATTATTTTAAATAACTTAAGTCAAAAACTTAATTTTACATTATATATTAAATTAAAGTATTTAAATCAGAGCAAATTTTCAGTTGTCAACCTTCACATTTATTTAATTATTATATATTTCTATATTTGATGCTTGAAAACAAATTTGTTTCATTTTCTTACACAGTTATATGTTTAGAGTTATTACTTTTGCAATATTTAATATCTTTTCATTTTTGATAACAGTTATTTTGTAATATTTTATTTTTAATATTGCATTATTTATCCTTAAGAAAAAACATAATTTATCAGTATTAAAAGCATATTTATATTTAAAGGTATGCACTTTTGTTGTTCAATGAATTTTGGAGCTTCAAAAATCATAAACCTTTTCCTGTTATATTATATAATTTATATTATTATAATAAGTTAAAGTAAATTGCATAAAAAATATCAAATATTTATTGATATTATTATGTGTGCAATGGTTACACTTATAGATTCTTTACCTTTTACCAAAGTTTAAGGTTTTGGACACTTTAAGACAATTTTAGTCAGTTTAGGACAGTAAACCCAAGTGTCCTGTCCAAAACCAGTTTAGGATGGCCAAAACCCCAACCCTGTTCATAATAATAATACACACTTAGATCCCTTTGCTCTTCAATACAAGTCAGTTAGGAAAACAAAACTTAAAATTTTTTTCATTAGTCCAGTAAAAGAGAGATTCAAATTTAATTACTCAATGCAATCTTTTATTTCATTCTTTCATAGAAAATTTGTTTCAAAAATAGCAATGAAAATTAAAAACAAACTGTTAATAAGGCTGTAAATCTACCACCGGAATGCAAGTTAACAGCGAGTTGCGAAACCCCTAGTCCAAAAATAAATCATTATTTCCAAACCAGGGTTCTGTTACTGGGTGTTTCGTGTTAGGTCAGTGTCAACGATGAATACAGGACTAAGAATTAATTACAAGAATCAGGTTTTTCACTAGTATGAACAATGCTGTGTCTTATCAGATTACTGTTGCGTGAAAAATTCTTATTACATATACAACAAGAATAACGCTTCTCTCTAGTATGAACACGAAAGTGCTCAGTCAGACTACTGTTGTATGAAAAACTCTTATTACATAAGCTACACAGATAAGGTTTCTCACCAGTGTGAACACGAAAGTGTCTTTTTAGATAACTTTGATGTGAGAAACTCTTATTACATATACTACAAGAATAAGGTTTCTCACCAGTATGAACAAGAGTGTCTATTCAGATGACTTCGATGTAAAAACCTCTTATTACACATACTACATGAGAAAGGTTTCTCACCAGTATGAACATAACTGTGTTGAGTACGACTACTTCTGCATGAAAAACTCTTATTACATATACTGCAAGAATAAGGTTTCTCACCAGTGTGAACACGTTTGTGTTCAAACAGATTACTTCTGTTTGAAAAACTCTTATTACATATGCTACAAGAATAAGGTTTCTCACCAGTGTGAACACGATTGTGTTGATTCAGATGATCTCGTTTCAAAAAACTTTTATCACATAAACTACAAGAATAAGGTTTCTCATTACTGTGAACATGACTGTGATCAGTTAGATACCTTTTTTGAGAAAAGCTCTTGTTACATATACTACAAGAAAAAGGTTTCTCCTCTGTGTGAACACTACTGTGTTTCATCATGTGATTAATATATGAAAAATTCTTGTTACATATACTACAAGAATNGTGATCAGTTAGATACCTTTTTTGAGAAAAACTCTTATCACATAAACTACAAGAATAAGGTTTCTCACCACTGTGAACACGACTGTGATCAGTTAGATACCTTTTTTGAGAAAAACTCTTGTCACATATACTACAAGAAAAAGGTTTCTCCTCTGTGTGAACACTACTGTGCTTCATCATGTGATTAATATATGAAAAATTCTTGTTACATATACTACAAGAATGAAGCTTCACACGAGCATGAAAAGTACTATGCTTAGTCAGATCACTTTTAAATAAAACAAACTCTTATTACATATACCACAAGAAAAAGGTTTTTCACTAATATCAACACGACTGTATTCAGTCACATTATTTTTTTGTAAAAAACTCCGTAAAAAACTTTTACATGAAGTTGTAGGTAATTATTGTCAAAAATGTCACTGAAATGTAATATACTTATGCTTCAAATGCTAAGTTTATCAGAACAATTAAATTAAATTTGAATAAAAATTAATATATATCGTATAAAAAAAATATGATTTTCTGAATAAGACTAAAAGATGTTGAGACTGATTTTATATCTAATATTGATATGGAGAGAATAAAGAAAAGGTAACAGAAATATTTAAATTTTTAATAATACTTAAAAATCATAATAGGGGTATCATTAAAAATGTTTGAAAGTAATCAATATTTTATCCTTCGTAAACGATCAAACTTGCTTTGATTATTCAGTGTAGCATTAAAAATAAATTTTAATGCTGTAATTATGGTTATATAAATATGTTTCGGTTGCAATATGATTTACTGTGAAACAAAAAACTAACCTTAAGAATTTAATAATATGAAGAAAGTTTAATGATATAGACTTAAGGCAAAACGAAGTTACACATTATATGTTGATAATTTGATTTTTCAACAAATATTTTATCATATGCACAGAGATACGAAAGTCTCAAATTAGTGTGGACAAAAACTTTATTTAATGTGCCTTATAAAAATTTAGTTATCTTAACCTATTACTATTGTTAGTTGCTTAGCAGGCTAACTAAATAAATTTTTATGTTAATCTAAACACTGCTCAAGCAAGACAAACATTGCTCAAAAAACATATTTCATGAGTAACAAACTTTTCACATAAACATTATGAAGAGATTTCTTGAGACTGTTTGCAAATTTAGACACTTTAGCACAAACTGCCGAAATAACTTTTAAACTAAAGTTTTAAATGCCTAGTCACGAGTACAAGGAAATTCTAAATAATATTTGCAATGATAATGTCCATTTCTAGATTTATAATGAAGATTTCCTAATGCATAATGAAAATTTCGCCATATGAACAAGATCTGTATCAGGTAAACAGTTTATAGACATTAAGCTTTTAAACTATTTTAAAACACTTTTTGTCATTTAATGCCTTGAATTATTCTTCCCTATTCATTGCCAATGTGTAAGTATCTTAAGGCAAACAAACTAAAATCAATGAATATATTTCACACACATTAAATCAAGAATTGCTATAAAACATAAATCACAAATTTCGAGCACATTTTTCCTGATTCTGATGATTGACACCTGCATAAGTATAGTGGAGTGATATGAAATCTTTGATTAAGCTTATAGCTTTCTGTTTTCATTAATGAGGCTTTTTTGCTAGCTTGGTTATTGAAATGGGCCACAGGCGGCGCAGAGCAGAACTCTCTACCTATGACAACGCTTCACATGCTTTCTCCATTAGCGTGAGGAGAGTCATAGAGGCAGGAAGTATGTTAGTTTCTGTCTTCATTTTCAAATACATTATTATCTTTCAAGTTACTAAGCTGTATGGAACTGAAAACTACATTAAATATAGTTCTAAAGGAAAGCGTCATAGAAAATGTTAAAAATATTTTTATTAGTTAAATACGAAAAATATTAAGAAAATGAAAAGTATCGAGTACATTCCTATTCACCTCGTTTTCTAAATAAACAAACAAACTGCTAGTTCAGCGGAAGTAACTTCCCCCGGTCCGTGCGAACTTCCGCTACATCGCTATAGCCTTCTTATTATTACGTTTTGCATTAGATTGTTGGCGTTTTCTCTTATCTTGACAGCGTTTGTTGTTTGGAAATAAAAATTTGTTTTATTAAATCGAAGTGCGCTTTTCCCATTATCACAAGTTGAATGATGATGGAAAGAAAAAATTTTCATTTAATATTCAGTTGTCTGATCCTTTTTCTGGAGAGTTATTTTAAAGTTTAAAATATGAAATGCAATTAAGTTTTTAAAAGACACTGGTCTCTAACAGCTAAATATTAAGCTAAGCACAGCTTAAAACCTGTAACTTTTAGATATGACATTAAAAGAAGTACAAAATATGGCTTTATTGTCAATTTATAACAGAAATTTTATTTTCTTCAAAAAATTAAATTTCATAATGGAGATATTTTTTTTTCTTCCTTAAATAAAAGCAATATCTTCAATTCCCGCATGCAAACACAAAAACAAGAGATATGTTACTTCATTAAATTTTCTTAAATGCATTTATTTTATTTTCCTTTCGGAAGTTTAATTGTTTAAAGCAGGCGTGGTCAACACTGAGCATCTTGTGCACCACTTTTAGCGTAAAAAATCTTGAACATGGCAATTATAAATTTAAATTTTATGTCAAGTCAATAAGGGCTACCGTGTTAATGTTGTTCATTGAATTATTACACGTATAGTAACTTTTTTTTCTAGATCAAATTAAGCTATATGTTAGTAAATATCACAGATGTTATCTTTAAAATCTTGAGAAAATTGAATTGTTTCTAGTGAAATTTAAACAATGGCTAACATTTAATCAATCAAAATTTTTTGCTCATCATTTTCATATATTTAAATAAGCAAGAAAATAATAAACAGAAAATTACGCTTAATTACTTTTTTTTTAAAAAAAGGAACAATTTTACAATTACAAATAATAAGGAGAAAACTTACAAGGATACAAACACTAATGTGATTTGTGTATTGTTTTAATTTTAACTAATTCTTTTATAATAAAAATTTGTTTAAAAAATTATATTTTTTCAATTTAAAATGAGATTGTGAGCCACACAAAATGTCACCTCTGGTTCAAAGTAACTTTATTTTTTGCATGTCAAATATAGCACACACGAATCTGAATTATTTAGAATTAAAAGTCATGTTTCTATATTTAGATATTACCTTAAATTTTACATTGCATTATGGGAAAGGACCAATTTTATTTTAAATTACGCTTGATGAAATCTTGAAATTTAAAGAATAAGAATACTGTATATATTAGATAAAAAAAATTGGAAAATTTTAAGAAATATATATAGAAAAGTTCTTTTTTTGAGATTATATAAATTTTTAACAACTCAAAATTTCAGGAAAAGGACAACATGGGCCCTTGGCTTCATCACTAAGTAGAAATAAATATAGTTAGTGTTAAAAAAAAAAAATAGTGTAGAGCTTTATTCTGTAATAATTCCAAGTAATGTTTGCGTATAGATCTTTATATTTAGTTATTTAGAGACTTTAAAAACAAACACACTTCAAAGAACCTTTATTTCTTTTTCAACTTTTATGTATTCAAAGAACCTTTATTTAACTTTTATGTATTTTTCCTAAAAATGAATTTTTCATATTAATTAGCGATGATTGAATCAGCATAAATTAAAACATTAGAAAAGAAATAAGTTCCGGTTGCTCCGGAAGTTTATGCGGACCATAACGTCTGCAAGGCGTTATACAGATAAGGTGAATACAACTGAATGGAGGAGGAGAGAAAGGATGAAGGGCCAAAGGCATGGAACAGTTCTGGCGTATTCGAGCGTTGCGATCGTCTAGACACAGCAGATACGATACGATGGATGGTTGACTGTATATTGGAGATCGAACTCTCTATCTATGGCAACACTTTCACCATCAGAGAAGAAGGAAGTATGTAACTTTGTATTAAACGTTTTATGTTAGCTTCGGTTTTTGTATCTCATCAGGTTGTTATTAAATGTGTTCGTTCGTTATGTTAGATCATACTCATCTATTTAATTATTTGTTAAAAGATACACAACGGTCTTTATTTTTTAATAGATTAATAATTTTCAGTTAAGAAACTATATGGAACTGAAACCTACATTCAACATAGTTCCAAAAGAAAGCGTCGTGGAAATTTGAAATATTTTTTTTGGATATTTAAGACCGAAAAATATTAAGAAATTGGAAATTATAGTAGTACATTCCTATACAACTGAGAAGAGAAGGAGGGAGAAGGCGGTCTTCTCCCCAGATGGCAGAATAAGAAGAAATTTAAAAGACTTCCTGTGTATCCCTCCGCTTAAGTTATGCTTAAGAGGCGATGTGTGAACTGGCTTAATAATCTAGGAACAGGACCGGATTAACCTATAGGCACACTAGGCACGTGCCTAGGGCCTACAAAATTCAGGGGCCTGCGAAAAACTTGGGAGACACAAATTTGTTGACAAAAATAATTTAGCTTTAAAAACAACAAGTGTATTTTGCACAAAATTATGAAGATACAAATAAAAATATAATATTTTTCGGTAATAAATTATTTTACAGAATCTTATGATCTAATATGTTACTTTTTTTGCTATTTTTGGATTCAACGAAATCTTGTATTATGCTGTCGAATTCCAAACTACGCAAAATGTCGTATTCAATAGACATAAGTGCGAGCGATGCCAAACGATCTTGATTCATTGCTGAACGCAAATTTTTTTTTTATCAATTTTAATTTGGAGAAAGATCTTTCTCCTTCTGCATTTGCATTCATAATTCCTTCTGCATTCATAATTTCAATAATAATTTTGCATTCATAATTCCTTCTGCATTCATAATTTCAAAAGATTTACTTTTGACAATGTTAATTTCCCTCACTTAGTTATCATAGTAGTATCATGAAAACCAGGGCTCGAAAAACCACCCGTCCGCCCGTCCTCGGCGGACAACAAATTTCTCGAATCCGACGTCCGCGCGGACGGCCATTTTCCCTGTTAATGTTCGTGATACATTTTCAATTTTTGTTATCTTACAATCTTTTTTGAAGCAGTAGATAAAGAAAATTTTCTCAAGAATGGGTGTCATTAAAACTTAAGATACGTAACACCGTTAAATACCAGAAAACTTCAGCCCTCCGAACCCAAGCTATTTATGAAGACCTAATGCAGCAAAATGACCGACAATACAGCAACATACTGCGCATGGTGGAATTGATAAACAAGAAGCGTTAAACGCAATTATGAAAATCTACCTAATGGAAAACCGTTTCAGATTTCTGTGCAGAAACCTCTGTAAATCATTGGCTTGTTTGTGAAACTGGCAAACGTCATATTTGATTCATTTAAATAACGCAGTACCCTCGGATAAATTGACATTCCAGATAACTTGATCTTTGTCATTTAAATTATTTCATAAAAGAAATACTAGGTAACTATTAGTAACCCAGTATTTCTTTTATTACTGTATAATGTAATCCCAGTAACTATTAATTCATTGTGCAATTTATATAAATGTTTGTAATAAATAAGAGAAAATTATATTTTTTATTTATTTAGAAGCGACGGGTTAGTTTCAAAGGAGGACGGGTAAAATTTCTGAGTTTTTTCGAGCCCTGGTTTCGATAAACTATGCTTTAATGCAATTCCAATAAAGCATGTACATTGAGGAATATGTAAAACAGTTTGAAATATCCCATTAGGATTAATATTAGACTTCTAAAGCATTGTTTTGCAATTAGCAGTCGAATGTGTGTGGGCTGCTGTTGTTTTTGATCAAGGCTGTGTAGCAACAGCGTAAGGAAAGCAAGGTCACAGTCACAAATAGCAAGTCAACCTGTTCACAGTGTTCCATCTGTCAAAGAAGGAGTGTTCATATCAAAGTGGGCATTTCNAACCCAATCCAGAAGACAAGGGAACTGATAGATTAGTACCCAGAGGTATTCATTTGTTAAGTGAACTTGGAGGACTTTGTGACCCCGACAAATTTAACATGCACCAGTCACCATTTTATACATGGGTATTCTTCTACCGGCTGGATTCAAACTCCCATTCTCACGAACACAAGTCCAATGCCCTATCAACCAGGCTATCCCGGCCAAATTTATTAGTTCATTTTATAACAGTCATTGCACAGCCGACCCGATTTCGAGTTTACTACTACTAATATTCAACTCCGTAGCCTTGTCATTTTGAACCCAATCCAGAAGACAAGGGAACTGATAGATTAGTACCCAGAGGTATTCATTTGTTCCGAGAACTTGGAGGACTTTGTGACCCCGACAAATTTAACATGCACCAGTCACCATTTTATACATGGGTATTCTTCTACCGGCTGGATTCAAACTCCCATTCTCACGAACACAAGTCCAATGCCCTATCAACCAGGCTATCCCGGCCAAATTTATTAGCTTATTTTATAACAGTCATTGCACAACCGACCCAATTTCGAGTTTACGACTACTAATATTCCACTCCGTAGCCTTGTCATTTTGAACCCAATCCAGCAGTCCCTGGAGCAGGTGAGGCCCGTTATATTAATACTGTTTGTAAAAATAAAAAGAACATTTCGTAAGCTGATATTATTTAATTGCTGTTTATATTGAAAACGTTTCTTCATTATTTTTTCTTTCTTTTTAATTATTTTAAGTACAATTATTAAATTTTAGTGCATGAAAAAAATTGTCATTATTTATGTACATTTTTGGCTTATATTTTTAAGGATTTATTAAAGGGTCTATTAAACATTAGAGAGAAGAAATGACCAAATGATCCAGCTTGTTGAAAATACGGATTTTATTTATGACAGACGTTATTAAGGTTAAGAACTAAAAAAATATTTAATCTTTTGAGGTTCATTTAGAAAATAAATATTTTCTCTCCTGCCCACTGTTCCGCATGGACTGATCGTAAAGACACTCCCAGTAGAATACCGAAGTCAAGCAGCTCTGGCTGCTGTCAGTAAGCGGGTGAGTGACCACTTTGATCAGTCTGCGTAAGGACCGTGGGTGCTCGGTATCAGTCCTCATTAAATTGTTCAACCGTAAAATGCTTCACTTCGCTCGCAAGTTGTCGGGCTACCAAAGCAGAGGAGCCATCCCCTCTTCAGAGGATCAAAATTGCGATGGCATGTCTTCGGATCATCCTCAGGGATGTTTCCCAGACCGTAGTCAATAGCCCATTGTGCAGCGCTAGTAGGACGTAAATAAAGTAGCTACATACCATCTAGTCCAATACCTTAAACTAAACTCAGTGACGCGACAGCCCATAGAGGGCCAAGGCAAGGGGCGGATCTACTTAAGGGCTTTTTGGGCTGCAGCCAAGGGCCCCGTGGATACAAAGGGCCCCAGTCCCCACTGGAAACAATAGGCAATATTTTGAATTCAAAAAATATCTAATATTAAAAAAAATGGTGGGGTGGATCTTCTTTTTCTTTCTTCTCTTCCGAACGATAAAATGTTCCATGACAATCTTTCGTAATTGGAGAAAAATATCCCTTATGAACCTTAAAATAGAAAAATGCTTGGCGTTAAAAATGATCTAAGATGAAATAACTGATTTGGAAAACTAGATATATAAAAAATATTAATATACCTTCAAAAGAGTATGTTCTCCAACATCAGAAAGCTTGTCAATTTTCTTTCCTTTGGGGTGGATCCTCTTTTTTCTTTCTTCTCTTCCGAACGATAAAATGTTCCATGACAATCTCTCTTAATTGAAGAAAAATATCCCTATTGAACCTTCAAATAGAAAATACTTGGCGTTAAAAATGATCAAAGATGAAATAACTGATTCGAGAAACAAGATATAAAAAAAATATTAATATACCTTCGAAAGAGTATGTTCTCCAACATCAGAAAGCTTGTTAATTTTCTTTCCTTTGGGGTGGATCTTCTTTTTTCTTTCTTCTCTTCCGAACGAAAAAATGTTCCATGACAATCTTTCTTAATTGGAGAAAAATATCCCTTTTGAACCTTTAAATAGAAAATAAAACATGCTTGGCGTTAAAAATGATCAAAGATGAAATAACTGATTTGAAAAACAAGATATATAAAAAATATTAATATACCTTCTAAAGAGTATGTTCTCCAACATCAGAAAGCTTGTCAATTTTCTTTCCTTTGGGGTGAATCTTCTTTTTCTTTCTTCTCTTCCGAACGAAAAAATGTTCCATGACAATCTTTCTTAATTGGAGAAAAATATCCCTTTTGAACCTTTAAATAGAAAATAAAACATGCTTGGCGTTAAAAATGATCAAGGAAGAGATAACTGATTTGAGAAACAAGATATATAAAAAATATTAATATACCTTCTAAAGAGTATGTTCTCCAACATTAGAAAGCTTGTCAATTTTCTTTCCTTCGGGGGGGATCTTCTTTTTTCTTTCTTCTCTTCCGAACGAAAAAATGCTCCATGACAATCTGTCTTAATTGAAGAAAAATATCCCTTTTGAACCTTAAAATAGAAAATGCTCGGCGCTAAAAATGATTTAAAATGAACTAACTGATTTGGAAAACAAGATATGTAAAAAATATTAATATACCTTCAAAAGAGTATGTTCTCCAGCATCAGAAAGCTTGTCAATTTTCTTTCCTTTGGGCTGGATCTTTTTTTTTCTTTCTTCTCCTCCGAGCGAAAAAATTTTCCATGACAATCTTTCTTAATTGGAGAAAAATATCCCTATTGAACCTTTAAATAGAAAATACTTGGCGTTAAAAATGATCTAAGATGAAATAACTGATTTGGAAAAGAAGATAAAGAAAAAATATTAATATACCTTCAAAAAAAAAATGTTCTCCAGCATCAGAAAGCTTGTCAATTTTCTTTCCCTTGGGGTGGATCTTCTTTTTTCTTTCTTCTTTTCCGAACGAAAAAATGTTGCATGACAATCTTTCTTAATTGGAGAAAAATATCCCTTTTGAACCTTTAAATAGAAAATAAAACATG